CACCGGCCACATGCAACGAAGTCAAGCGCCACTGTCCAACAACTCTCACCCCGAACTCTTGGGAGTCTGCTGCTGAATTGCTGAAGCAATTGTTCGAACCATTGTCCATGGGTATGGCTCTGCAAGTTTTGTCAAAAACTGTCCATTGTAAGACCCCGCTAGAATCAAATGTGGAGCCAATGTACGAGAACAAATACCTCGAGGTCCGGTGCAACATCGAAGTTCAAAGTTCAAGCGGTCACAACAAAGGAAACGTGTCGACTTGCGCCAAGGAAGCTTGTACTGACAAAAATCCACATGTGTAAAATGACAGTGTTTCAAGCGTCTTAGCTGTCTTGTCAACCAAACTCTGCTCGTCTTGGGGTTCTCAAGCGTCCAACCAACATTGGCCTGTTGACAAGCTCGTATTAGGCGGACTGTGTGAAGGAGCAAAACGTTTCCAAGTTTGACCTTACCTTGGTCCACAGCTGACAGATTTGGGAATCCCATAAGAAAAGTTGTATCGTCACGTAAGGGACCGGGACCTCGGCCATCATTTTTTCGGGCACGCGACCATGTATTGCAAGGCAAGCCAAAATGAACAAATTGAATTGCACCCGATTTGATTCTATCTATCAAGCTGTTCACAATGTTCACCTTGCTCAAGTCACACGCCGAAGAAAAGTTGATGTCCCAAGCCTCAACGTGCCAGTTCAACTTAGACAATGCTTTGGAAAGTCGTGCTGAACCGGCAAACAACTCCATGAAAACCTTTCATTGGCCCAAAATGCTGAGGGCCTTGCTGGGCAGCGTCTGGATTGCTGCGTTGCAAAGCCTTTGAACCTGCTGAGGGAGCGCGTCGAAAGCTGTCGCCACTAATGCCTTCTTTTCGTATCTGCTCATGGAGCTGTCCGACTGCCAACGACCTCTCATCTTTGCTTCCAGCTGTGTCCTGTAGCCTTTGAAGCGGTCCCAACTGACGCCGGCATGGCGCAGCTGGTAGGGAGTTGAGTGTCCTCGAGGCAGGTTGCACTTTTGAAGGGCCTTCTTCCAATCTTCCAAAAAACTGTTGTACTCGACCTGGAACAGCTTTTGTGTCGGAAGGAGGTTTTTGCTCAACATGGCCAGAGCTTTTCCCAGCCATGGTACTGCCTTGGAGTCTATACTGAGGTTCTCGTCGGCCACACCCATCTTGGAAGTCTCGAAGTCTTCGTCTCGGTTGAGAACGAGCATGCACGTCGTTCCCAGGGAGGTTGACAAAACCAGATCCTTCCGTTGCAGCCGAAGGGTCTCTGTTGGCCTGGAATAGGCCACGAACATGGTCAGCACTAACATCGCGCTGGCCACACTCCCAGCTTCCAGCATGTTCTGAGCAATCAATGCCACCAATGGAAACGGAATTGGCGGACGACTTCGTCCTGGGTCCAGGTTCTTCCAGCCTTTGAGCGACCGTCGAGCCCTGGGTAGTTTGTCCCTTGCTCCTGCCTCGGGCCAACTGTCTATGATTGCCGCCAAAAACTTTGACCCTTCTGCATATTCCATGCCATCGTTGAAACACTGCTGAAAGAAGGTTGTTAGGCTTGCATCCAAGTTCCGGTTGCCTGTTGTTGAGATATTGTGTAACTGGCAAAACTTTCGAAACACCGTGACTCTCATCTGATAGTCTGCGGCAGTCTTGGGAGAAATTGCTGACTGTTCTAGAAAGGTCTGTCCCGGTAGTCGAGGATTTGCTTGCTCTTCCACCAGTTTCTGCCGTTTTGCACTGCGACCCTCCTCCGTTTTGTCGGCAATTCTCCTTCGAACTTCTGCTGGGGTGGGGATCTTTGACAACCCCACATATGGATGAACTGCCTTCTTCAAACGATTGACCACGGAGTCCTGTTTGGTTCCTGGTCTTGTCGGTCTTGATCTTTGAGCCTGGGTCGATGGCCTCTTGTATGGCCCTTTGCGTGCTCCTTTTGGAGGCATGGCGCGGTGGCTCAAAAATACGGGATGGTTTGTCGGCTACATTCAACTCTGAAGGAATCCATCTAAAATGAAACTCACAATGTGTGGCTATGGCAAGTGCTGTACTGCGACGACATTGGAAAAGCAACGCTTTATTCTTAGCCCTTCCTCTATCGAAAGCAAGTGTCATACCGAGGTTGTCATTCAAGTGGATATGTCGTCGTCCAAAGTTGACGGACCCCCGGGCTTTGTGCCGGAGGGCCTGAACCACCCCTCGACCCTCAAGCAACGTGATGTGCTCTGGCATGGTCATACGCGCTGAAAAATCAATGGTCCAGTCCTCAACTCGTAACAAAGATGAAGGAACCTCCTTGAAGTCTAGATTCAACTGAAAACTATCCAGAGGTTGCACCAGTGAAGCAATGGGGGTGGGTGGTCTCACCGTTTCTTGGTCAGTGAATGGGTCCAAGGCCTGAACATGTTCTCTGGCCCTCCCTGCACCGCCAACAGCCCTGTATCTCCACAACTCCCGTTGTCTCCCCACCTGATGTATGTGCGTTGGGCCCCAATGAGATGAGCACACCGCAGTCCCAGTGAGGCTGGCATCGCTTGCTGTGACCTCCTGGCACCACGGCCGTCGCAGGTCCGCAAAACACAAATCAAGAAGGGCTGCCATACACTTACATTCCAAAGCTGCTGTCTTCCAGAGTCTTTGCCTGCTATTGTATGCAATGATCTTGAAGTCATAAACAGCACGAAAAACCGACAAAAGCTCTCTTCTCAACATGCAAAAATGAATGCAGTGTCCAATGATGCGCTCCAACATCTTTCCTGAGACACGAGGACGCTGGGCCAACCAATTCAGAACTTTGCGAACTTTCTGTAGTTTGTTTGGCTTTGGATAAACTTTCCCAACCCGGCCATCAATGAAAAAGCCCAATGAC